GTTAATGTTAAAGTAACTATTACATCATTCTCTTCAATCAGACATTTTTGAAACTTGAACAATATATTCTATGCTATTTCATTTGTTACTATTATATTTTGATAATGTTCCATATTATGTATTATGTACATATTATGATATTTGGATTAGAATTGATATTTCTTGTTAGAATTTAGGGTTTAGTGATTAGTGTTTTGGGTTTAATTTATGGAAGGTTTGGGTTGATGTTAAAGTAACTATTAAATCATTCTTTGCAATAAGACATTTTAAAACTTGAACAATATATATTATGCTACTAGGTGATCTTCCCGTGCTCATGCACGGACATAAATATTCATAAAGTAACAACTAATTTATAATTTGTAGGTATAATTTACATTAATAATATTATATTACTCTAATTATATATATGATTTTAGATATGTTATATCTAGTCGGTTTTGTTGTTTTATAGTCGATTTAGTTATCATTACATATTGGACTCCATCTATTTCTCTGAATTCAACTATAAGATTTTATTTTGTTTTAAATATATTAAGTTGGTTGTTGTCTTAAAAAACATTTTAATAATACTAATTATAATTATTATATTTTTTTAATTACACATATATCAGTTTATGTTACTTAATTATTTTATGTAATCATCTAAGAAAATAGATAGATATATAAAAACAAATTTTATTACTTTGAAAAGATATATATTTTGTTGTTTAAAATTATTTTTGTAAAGAAAAAAATATTATTTGCTAATATCATTATATGTGTGAAATTTTTTTTTATTAAATCACATTGTCGAATTTTTTTTTTTATCTAAGAAGATATAGATTTAAGGAAAATATTTTATTATCTCAAAGTATATTTTATGTTATTTAAAAATATCTTTTAAATGAAATATTACTATTTTGTGAACTTTCCTTCTTTTATGAAATCATATTATATGTACATATATTTTCATTTAAATAGTTTTGTAAACTTGATAAATGTTTCCTTTTATTTTATATTGTTATTTGGAAATTAAAAAAAATTTTAAATTATTTTTTTAATTCATTACGGGTACCATAGTAATCAACCAGCGTGAGACTTAACGTTTGAAAAGAAAAACTATTATTTTCTAATATCATTATATGTGTGAAATTTGTTTTTATGAAATCACATTGTCTAAAAATATTTTTTTTATCTAAGAAGATATAGTTTTAAGGAAAGTATTTTATTATCTCAAAGTATATTTTATGTTATTTAAAATATCTTTTAAATGAAATATTACTATTTTCTGAACTTTTCTTCTTTTATGAAATCATATTATATGTACATATATTTTCGTTTGAATAGTTTTGTAAACTTGATAAATGTTTCCTTTTATTTTATATTGTTATTTGGAAATTTAAAAAAATAATATTTACATTATTTTTTTAGTTCATTAAGGGTACAATAGTAATCAACCAGCGTGAGAGTTAACGTGAGCGCGACACCTAAGAAAATGACTTCTCAAATAATATTATAGAGATTTGTTTGTTACTATTCTATTTTGATAATGTTCCATATTATGTACTATGTACATATGTTGATATTTGAGTTATGATTTATATTTCTTGTTAGAGTTTAGAGTTTAGTGATTAGTGTTTTGAGTTTAGTTTAAGGAGGTTTGGATTGACATTGTCATAAGCATTAGCTCATTTTATGCAATCATAGACATTTCAAAATTTGAATTATATATACTATGCTATTTGTTTGTTACTATTCTATATTAATAATATACTATATTATATATTATTTGTATATTTTTAAATTTAGGTTAAGGTTTGTATTTTCTTTTAAGATTTAGTGATTATTATTTTAAATTTAACCTAAGAAAAATTTGGATGTTCATTAAACTATTTTTTAATTTCATTAATATGAACTATATCATATAGCATGTTCTATTCTATTTATATAATCACCACAAGTCCAATAACGTTTTTCATTTAAGTGACATAGTGTCATTGTCAACAGACTTTAGGAAATGAGAAAACCAGAAAGAAACGAAAGAAATAATATGAGATCAAATTATGTCTACATTAATACTATATTCTTAATTTTACTCTCAAAATTGTATATTTCACAAATTAACCCAATAATTTATCGCCCAACTCAAAAGCTCCTCATCCGCTGTTGTAATGGATTGGCTACTACAGTATAACCTCTTTAAATTAATAATCGATAAATTAATATCTCTATAAATTAATATAATTTTATAGTTTTAAATTAAATTTTTGGTTCAATTACTACTTCGATAAATTAATAATCTCTATAAATTAATAAAAATTTTAGTTTTGGTGTAGTCCCAACATTACTATTTACTTTGTAATTAATTAACTTATCTTGGTGACAAAAAAAAGCTTGTTAGAACAACTGCATTGAGAGTTGTAAGGAGGGGGTCACACAAATCCCAAAAAAAAAAACTAATATATTAATCTGCTGCTCATGAACCCTTGTCATATAAGTTCACCCCACTGAACCCGTATCAACACTATTCACGGGCCCCACCGACACATGGCGGCCCGTGATGGGTCCATTAATAATTTTTTTTTTAAAAAAAAAACAACCGAAAAAAAAAATTAATTTTCTATTCTTATGAACCTCTCCCCCATAGGTTCACTGATGGGGGTGCCCTTAATCTCTCTATTTATACTAGATTTTATACTCGCGCTACGCGCGAGTCTGTTTTAATAATTTAGTTTAATTAAAATAACTTAAAACCAAAATATTAATTGAGTAATATAATTTTCTTATTTAAAATATAATCTTTAATTTAGTATTTATGTTTTCTTATAATTATGTTATCTTATTAGCTATTTAGTTATTTGTATTTGTAAATATAATAA